TACAGCCTGAATTTGTGCTTTGCAACCTTATCACTGCTGCAGATGGACCATTAATTGAAGAAATCAAAACACCATAAAAAGAAAGCTTTCATTGCATTGTCTTTCGAGAATTAAATGTTTGTGCCGTACTAAAAAGCAGCAATTATTTTACAGTAGATTTCTCTGAGATGACAGAAAAGCACATTAATGACTGCAGCTGAATATAAAATATTATATACTATAGCTTTATGTTTGCAAATGTTCGACCTCTAGCAGAAATATACTCCTAAGCACAGAAACCTGCTAGTCTTTAGCCATCATTAGAAAAGAAGATGCAAACTGAAAAAAGGACACTAAAGCAAAAGCAATTACAATTATGAAAAATAAATGTCTTTCATTTAACAGAATATGCTACTGAATGTTTGGTGTCTGGGGACATTTTGTACTCAGTAGTATCATCTGATGAAGTTTGAAGTCCTGACAGTCTTTGAAGCATGAATGCAGACTTGAATGCTACATTGCCAAATGTCAGGGGTGTTGAGCAAAACAGTTTTATATCATGTATGTAAGCATGCAGTAAAATTTCTAGAAGCTTCAAATGCTCTAAACATGCACAGATCAGTCATAATGCTTACTGCTGTAACTATGATAAGCCTGGGCCAAATCAGACATACTGCTTGTGCACTGAATGTGGAATTTGTATTATACAGTAAACCCTAAAAGACAGGAACTGATGAATTTCCTACCACAAGACAGCCAGCTGCAGCTGTACTTTCATCAAGGACTTTCAACTAAGCATTGTTGCCGAACTTCCCTTTCAAAGGCTCATTTAACATACAAAATAGGATTTACCTTGCCTAGCTCTCAAAGTCTTAACATCTGAGCTAATCCCCATGAACTCCGTACTGATACATATATCTCTAGGAATCACATCTGTGATCTATAATGAGATGAGATTATTTGCCCCCTTGGTGGTACACTGAGTATAGAAAATTTTGAAAACAACAGAATTAGAATGTTTTGTTTAAGTTCTCAAAAGAGGACAAATAAATCCACCTTCCATTTCTCTAAAAATATTTCAGAGATTTCTTGGCTGCTGTTGTTACTTACTACTTTTTGTGTCTTAGAACACATCTTTCACTATGTTGTAGTAAGCATCATATGCAAAACTGAGCTCCAAAATAAACAAAAACAATAAACAATATTATTGTAGGTCCACTGCTTTTTGCTTTTTTTTCCTGAGTAAATAAACACAGTAACAGTGAAAAAGTGGAGCGATATCAAAGGGCAAGTGGAGCTCCTAACTCACCATAAACTCTTTTTTGACATCTCAGATGGATGGAGGGGGGAGGGACGGAGAGGGGATGGGGGGGGGGGGCCAGAGGGCGGGGGATGGAGGGAGGAGGAAAGAAGAAGCATAAAGTCAACATAATTCCATGGAGAAAAGTTTTTGTTTTATTTTTCCTATAAGTAGCATGAAAAAAATATCTATTTTGAGATGGATATGGAGTGAGAAAGTCCTATCTTCAGAGCAGCTTAATGGAGTGTTCCATTCAGGTCCCTGTTGTGACTTTCCCAAGACGTGCAAAAGAAGCAAGGGAAACCAAAAAGGAAAAAGGAATGTGTTGTACTCTGTTTTCTTCCTCCCTTATTTCTGATTCACAGCTTCACCGGTCTACAATGAAAGGAAAAACCAGAAGACATCTAATGTTCCCTGTGTTCATTGAATACTCAGTTTTAAAGAACAAGATATCAAAATTCCACTTCATCTTTGATGTACCTGAGAGATTTTAACCACTTGAGATGCAGGTTTTCAGAGAATAGAAAACAAACCGCCAGCAAAGAGAGAACTTGAGTGAGTGACTGGAAGAACTGTAGTAGGACTTCGCTACTCTTCATGTTTCAACATCTTTCCTACACATTCACAGCAGTGAAGGAAAAACAGTCAAAGGAGTGGTCTTTTCTTGGTACTTATGTGGATCATACTTTCAAACAGAAATAGCTTGACTGCTTTAAAGGTCTAAGTATGCTGTTGAATCCACTTCTCAGATATTTTAAAGACAGGGTTGAAAGTGGCAGCATTTACAACATTCATAAAATCATCTCTCTCACATTTGACTATTTTTGTAGAAAACAGCAATTCAAAAAAAGTAATTAGCTCACTATTTCCTTCTCCATACCATTCCTTCCTTCCACTCTCAATATTTTTTCTCCACGAATGGATGATGGGTCAGCTGTTACACTGCTGCTCTGCAAATGAAAGCAAAGGTTTGATTCCCTACTGTGCCTTCATGACCTTGAGTCATCCAGAGCTGCTGCTGCTGCATCTGTGTTGAATTAATGTAAGGAGCTTGATGCTGCAGGACTGCAGGCAGATGAAATATAGAGACACTGGGCAGCGCCGTCATGGGCAATTAGCAAAATATAGAAAATACAGAGTTAGCAAATATGTAAATTTAGCTTTTTCTTTTCTTTTCCCTTTCAAGAACCCTTATACCAAGAATTAATTTACAGTGGAGAAAAAGATCTCTCACCTGAGACTGCAATAAGCTGGGCTTATTAATAACCCCTTTTATCTCCAAATCAAATAAAGGTACAGAAGAAAGTGAGTGAGAGAAAGGACACAAATTGTCTCTCCTACATTAAACCAGCAATGACAAGCCTAAGGTCAGACCCCATAACAGTATTTGATGAAGTGCTCTACCTGACCAGACTGTCCTATGCATGGCACAAAGAGTCCTAGAATCATAGAATCACAAGGTTGGAAAGGACCGACAATATCATCTAGTCCGACTGTCCTCCCACTACCATTGCTACCACAAGCTACTAAACCATATCTCATAACTAAACCAGGGAGGCATCTTCTGGTTTCCACTCAGGAAAATTTACGTATTACTGAGTACAGAGTAAAAAGACTGAAGAGAACTTTCTAACTAAAGTTAGAATGATGCAAGATTAATTTTTGTAAGCAATACCACGGAACACATACTTTGTATCCTGAATTCCTCTCCTACTTCTAATCCTTAAACAGAGAATAACACGAGTAGAAAAAGAGATTTCTTTTCAGAAGAAAATTCTGTTCTTTTCCACCCTAAAACCACTGAGACTTCTTGTTGCTAAGGAGGAATGATGTGAAGCCATTAAATTACTTGAGTGAATTATGAATGCAATTTGCTAAAACAAATATATTTTATTGAGCTGATTTGTGAGATGTGGTAAAATTAAATCAGATATGCCAAAATAAAGAAATAAATAGCTCATGTTATCCTTATCCTACTCTCCATGAAGAATCGAACATATGTACAGAATATTTTGTCAGTAAAGTCAAAATGAGAAAAAGAAATCTCAAATGCACCACTCAAACTTTATCCAAATGCTTTACAGATAAACACCATCTCTAAAAGGATACTGATATACAGGCAGTATACCAGCATCTACAGCAGTAAGAATAATCTAAGATGGCCATGGACTAACACATTCTCAGTCTAACACTTGGCATTTTCTGAAATCTTTCCTATATAAACAGGAAAGGTGACATCCCTACAGACTTGTGCCCAGTACATACAACTAAGCTAATGGCAAACTGAGTTGAGATCTTTTTAAGGTAACAATTCTAAATACTTGTGCTTCATATTTCCTTAGCTGGAGTTTTAAAAGTTCGTACAGGTTAGAGACATGCAAACGATAAAGGATGAATTTCAACCATGAATTTATATGGATGGTATTCCTATTGTATTATTCACAAGTTAGATGAAGTATTTTAAGTCTTGTGCACTACTGTTAAATTGTTGTTTTTTCCTCTTCACAGTTTCTGTGCAGAGCAATTCAAAATTGACAGTGCCCATCCCTGGAGGTATTTGTTCAAGGCCAAGCTGGATGGGGCCCTGGGCAGCCTGATGTAGTGGGTGGCAACCCTGCCCACAGCAGGGGGGTCAGAACTAGATGATTTTTAAGACCCCTTTCAACCAAAGCCAGTCTGTGATGACTTTAATTACAGCAATTATCAGGAAAGCACAGAACAATACTGGCATGTCATTTTTTCCCATTGTCTCCTACAAGAATGGACACGTCCATTTCAGAAAGTTTCCCACATTCTTCTTACGACTTGGGTTCAAGTCATAAGAAGGAAAAGATGCCACGCCTTGCAAAATGCTTAATTACGTTTGGAAAAAGCCTCAGGATACTGACATAACAAGAATTTTAGCCAACCTAAACTCCTAAACTATTCTTCAATTAACAGTACTTATCAAACAATTCAAAACTGTTTATATTTCTCATACGTTCGAAATAATAAAAACTTTGCATTTGTGCAGTTGACATCAAATTCTAAATGTGATAATTATGATGTAATTTGTAAAAAGTATTGCAAATCTTACAGAGCATGCCTTGAGAATTTTTATTAAGTTCGATACAAACTTTTTAATTATAATTTAATTTTTAAGTTAAAAATCACTAATTAAATCTCCAAATCAAGATTTCATAGAATTATTGAACACCCCGACTTGGAAGGGACCCACAAAGATCAGCCTAACACCTCAAATTCTTTAGAATTATTTTTCTATATATATTCCACAGAATAAAGAAAAACTCCACAGGAAAAGGACATATTTAGCAAAACGAAACTTCAACCAATCCACTCAATCCATCTCATTTAAGAAGCCACACTTTGTTTACAATCATACATATTTTGTGATGAAGATGATTGAAACATACCATATCTTCAATTTTAAAACATTTTTTTAACTTTTGTAAAGTTTTAAGGGGAATAATAGCCAACCAAGTATAATTTTTGTTGTTTTCATGTGCCAAATCCTATCCCAGAGAATACTCCTCTCCTTGGCAGTTCATGAGATTATCAACCATGTCGCATTTTACTCCACTCATTTTGCTCCTCTCCAGTAAGCATGACTGTAGTAGTTACAGCAGCTGGAAGAGTTAGGAGCTATAAAACAAACATAAATTCGTGTTCAGACAGCTCCAAGATCTAATGATATGGAATTCAGGACATTACACAAACAGAATTTTATTAACATGGGCCATTTATTTTCAAAGTACCAGGTCTCACTGACTCTCAGGAACAGAATATTCCTAAGATATTCAGGGCGAATATCTTCCACAATAGGACTGAGATAAATCGTGCCGGTGGCAAAAAGTAATGAAGAAGCAAAAAGAGATTATTTATTAAAAGTCATTTAATAAAATGTCCACATGTAACTCAAAACCTGTAATGGAGGTTTATGCAGAGGTTTATGTCTTTTGTTGTATTTTCTGAAGAAGAAACTCCATTTGTGCATTTAGATTTGGCTGTCCTTTCTTGGTCTTCCTACTCAGTATTTTATAAGCTTCCATTTTCTTTTGCTTGTACAACCTCTGAGCTGCTTCTCTTTGTTGTTTTCTTTTTTCTGCTTCCTAAAACAAAACAGATATGATAGTGAAAAAAAATCTATAAGCAATATATTCTCTTTCATACGAGCACTAGTCATCAGGTACTGTACTGACAGTAGGCCACTGACTTTAAAAGCTTAATTAGGATTGTTTCAGAACGTAATGCAATCAAAATATATATTGACTAAAGCTTCAAGAGAAAAGCCAAGTTTTCTTACTAGAATATCCCAGAAAGGAAGGTTTGGTCCCAAAAATGTACTACATCCTTTCTGCCAAACGTGCTCCTTTTTTTCTTAAATGACTCAAGTGCCCAAAGTTTTCTACCTTCTCTTTTTCAGTGCAAGACTGAAAGAGCTTGATTCAGCAACCCCATGAAAATGCCATACCAACCCAGATGTGCTAGGATACTGGATATATTTGCACGAGACTGGCAGATATGATATGGGAAACATTTAGGTGTTCTGTTTGCAACACTAACATAGCATCACAAGCACATGATGATGTGATGCTTAATCAGGACTGAAATTATAGTGACCAGTCCTCTTCAAAGGAAAACAGACTTTTGCCTTTACTAAGATAAGAAAAAGATGCAATTCAGTTTCCGAATTACTTGTCAAGGATATATATAACCACATATAACCAGAACACTAATGGAGGCACTTGCTCTGTGTGGATAGTTAGGATATGTTGGGTGGGGTGGGGGTTGTGTGCTTGTTTTGTTTTTTTTTTTAAAAAAAAAATCAAAGAGCTTGCATCCTCTTTTCTAGCATAATTTTAGTAAGTAGTTTGGTCAAGCTAACTAGCTTCCTTCTCTTGTATCCTGTCCTATGTAAGCCATCACAAATCAGACTTAAGACTTCTTCTCAAGTTTATTAATTGAAATTCAATGCCATGATGACCCCAAAGGCTGACGTGTCTGCAGAATGTTCGAATATATCATAAGTTTAGTGATTATATTTTTGTTTTCCATGGTATAAATAGCTTCTATGATGTACAAAAGTTAGTAAGAATGTTCTTTAATGTTTGAATGTAAAATTAACTAGAAGTAACACCCCCAAATAAATGAAGGTCTAAGTACTTCTCGATGAAATAAAAATTCCCTCTAACAGCAAGTGCAAAACTTAGAACCAAGAGTCGTAATTCCAAAGACCTGAATGCCTGCACATCAATGGCAAACTGAAAAAGACTGAATATCACCAATATCTGTGCTCCTATCCCATGGTCCTATTTGAATCCAGATGGAAATAGTATTAAACTACTCTATGCCTAAGATTCAAAATGATCTCTGTTTAACATTTACCTCTCTCTTCTTAGCACGCTCAGCCTGTATTTTTTCATACTCTTCTTTTGCCTTCTGATTGGATGTTTTTTTCTTAAACTTTCCTTCAGTTGTGACTGGTCTGTAAGAAAAAATACACAAAATTCAAATATGCCTGCCTGCAGATAGCCCATCATCACATATACCATGGCTACTGCAGAATCAGTCTTGCACTGTTTTTTGCGTATGGGGTGAAGTTAATTAGAAATATAGATTTATAGATTACATGAGAGAAGAGCAAAGCTCATCTTTTTGTATTGTACGAATACCTAACTGCACTACTCTTACATGTAATGCTATTTGGTATCATGTACTGTAATGAGCATCTAGCAACATAGCAAACTAGATTTCTTCATTCCAAGTGAACTGAAGACTGGTCTGCATGGAACTTTTAGTAATGCACATGTCTTATCTGCTGGATCTTAAGTGAATGGCATATATGAAGGCTAAGCATTGCCTAAAAGAGGATGTTTCTCTCCATCATACAAAGTCTTCTGAGCTTGAAAAGCTTGACCACTGCATTAACTTTGAGCTGTGTTATCTCTTTCTAGATCCAACACATGCACACAACTGCAGAATATGAGGACAAGCAAATGTCAGCAAACTGCTCATCAGAGTTCACGCTGACATGGCAAAGTGAAAAAGGTTAGCAGCAACAATTTCTTTTCTAAAACTCTTACTGAAGAAGATGGCATAACAGTATACTATGCCCTTAACATTCTGAAATTAGGAGCTGAATTCATATTCCTTCTCGAATTCCAAAAGAAGTTATCCCTCACAAAAGAAAACTCTACAAAAAACACTCCCACAGTGCCATTTGTCTGGCATTTATTGTCATATTATTATAATAGATATACAGAATTCTCTGCTTAGTATTATTTTTCTTTATATTTTTCACGGTAAGTCCTTTATGTAAACAGTGTGGTATCACATATTTCACACTTGAAAAACATAAGCTTTGCTAGATATTTAACAGCTGTTCACAGAATGAGTTTTTGTTTAGTCTACTGTTCATAATAAAAGACTTCTAGAATTCACCATCGTCATCTCAGAAATCTCAGGTAGAAAATCAAAAAGGTAAGTGAACAGATTTGCTCATAGTTTTATGGAATACAACCCTTCCGAAGGAAAAAAAAAAAAAAAAAATCTGTTATACTCTGATCTCCATCTTGTGGCAATATTAAGTAATGACACCCCATCTCAGAACTGCAAAACTACTTAAAAGGCAACGTTTGCTAATATTTTAACAGAATTACCTAATCAATGATCTATTTTACATCTCCATAGAGCACTGAAGTCTACCTAATAGTGTCACTGCACCTCGCACATTAGCAGCTAGATTCATATAAAATTACAAATTTTGTTTATAATCACGACGACTCTTGGTAAAGTTAAAAAAAAAAAATCTGGTTTGAAAAATAGCCTAAGTTTTGCATCAGTCATCTCTGTGAATTAACTGCCCATTCCACACACAACTCTACTTTCCTCCTACTGCAGGGCTTGGATCTGATTGCCTCTCTCTGTACTCTCTTGCATGTTCTTCTTCCAAAAATTTAAATGTACACAGGGCTTGGAATTCAGAGATCTACATTACTCCCTGTAATGGGAACAAAAAGGTGTCATTTAGGTTGGACACAAGAAATAAGTTTTTTACAATTAGGGTGGTGATGTACTGGAACAGGGTGCCCAGAGAGGTGGTGGATGTTCCATCCCTGGAGACAATCTAGGTCAGTCTGGCCCAGGCTCTGAACAACCTGATCTACCTGTACACGTCCCTGTTCAGTGCAGGGGAGTTGGACTGGATGATGTTTAAAGGTCCCTTCCAAGTCTAAGATTCTATAAATAGTATAAAAATTGGCCGATGCTCTGAAATCAAACTCCAAAAAGCTGATTCTGATGTAAACACAACAAAGCTGTATTCTTACATTTTCTAACAGTTCAGAAAAACACTGAAGGCTTATGTGCTTTTTTTTAAGCAAATCATCATACTGGAGTCCATGTAAAGTGTAAGATCTAAAGTACCTCTGTAAGCATAAAAAAACATTATTTTTAAAGAAGTATTTCCGTGACTTACTCTACTGCTTTATTAAGCTTTTCTTCTGATAGAACTGAATCATTTGGAGACTTGTGCTGTTTCTTCAGCCTCTCCTCCTCTGCTAGGTAAAGATGCTTCAGATGCTCTGGGTAAGTATCTGTGAATTGATCAGCCCGTGGTGAACAGATCTTCTGCTCCTTCTTCAATAATTTCCTGTATTTCCTTTCAATCTTCTGTTTTCTCCGAAATGCAAATCCTCGTCCTGTAAGCACAAGGAAAAAGGGAGTCAAATGCTGCTTACTGGAGCAGCAACGAACCATGTAGCTGTTGCCATGACCACTTTCCATTTACGTTCCTCCTAGAGAACACTAATTAGGGTCATTTTCATCAGGACCTTTTAAAGATTCAGGGAAAAACAAAACAAAACAAAACAAAAAAACAAAACAAAAAAACAAAAACAAAAACAAAACTGATAGAAACCCAATCCCTACTGCAGCTTGTACAATGTACTGAGAATTACTGCCTGAACTTCACCATCACTGTAAACACGCTACTTTATGGAACACAGCACACGTTACGCCACTGATGCAAGCAATGCAGCGGGCTTACGGAGTCTGCACGGCTGCAATGCCACAGGGAAGCCACTCATCTGCGTGACCATAAGCCGGCAGCGTGATTAGCGTCAGTGCTCTCCTGACAGCCGCGTGCCCGCAGCCAGGCTCACCCTGCTGAACGCTCCCCAGAAGGCCGTGCATTGCTGTGGGCCTCCACAACCGTTTCCGCTGCGGGCGCCGAGCCGCGCCGCCTGCGCTCTCCAAAGCCCCGTGCTCGGACCCCGCACGCCCCGCCGCCGCCATCGCTGCCTCAGCGTCGCACAGCCGCTACGTCACCACGGCGCGCCGCCTCCGCTCGGCGCTCGGCGCTCGACTCGCCCGCCTGGCCGTTCGGCGGCGGCACCGCGAGGGCGGACGTTAGTGCCGAGGGGCCATGCGGCGGGCGCGGGGCGCTCTGCCGGCCCAGCTGCCGGCGGCGGAGGCGGAGGAGGGGCTGCGGCGCCTGGCGCGGTTCCTGGCGCGCGCGTTGCCGCTGTGCCGCGCCCACACGACGGAGTTCTACGCGCGCGGGCTGTGGGAGCAGCTGGTGGCGGCGCGCCCCGAGGTTGTGCTGCAGGCGCTGCGGCGCCCCCTGCCGGAGGCCTCCGGCGCCGCGGCCGTGCGGTGGGGTGAGTCGCGGCGGGGCGTAGCGGTGGGGCGCGGGCAGGGACCAGGAGCCGCCTGCGCGCTTCCTGCCTCCCGCTATGGTATTTCGGGCGGTGTAGGCACTATGAGGTTCTGTCCTCGCCATTCAGACTTCTTTGGCCTTCTCCTTTCTGTGGCAAAGTCAGATTGCAGTCATTTCCCTTTGCTTTAATAAAAGGAGAATCTCACACCACTCTGCAGAGCTGCTCTTTATTCCTTCGCCTGTACCAGCTGCTTTTTCGCAGCCGTTTTCCGCAGTGCTTTGCCGCTGCTTTGCCCTCCCGGAGCCCTTTGTGCTCCTCCGTGTATGCGGACCAGCAGTGCTCGCCTCACTCTCTGCGACGGCTTTGCAACCTCGATAGCACCGCCTCGGTGCGAGGAATTGCACCCAGAGAGGCGCTCATAATGTTAGGTGGTGTCGTGGTCTCATTTCAAACTTCCCCCCCGTTCCTTTTGAGTGAGAAATGACATGAAGTTCCCAGCTGGCAGACGGCTTCCCTCGGACTAATTTCTGAATAACTGGAGCAAAATGAACAAAAAAATATATATACGTATAAAATAAATCCATGCGAGTGGAAAGATGTAACTGTTAAAGTCCTCCAAATGTTGAAACTGTGGAAATGTGGAGGACAGCTGGAAAAGACTTAAGCGTGGCTTTCCTATATGTCTGTTATAATGAGTGCCTGGCAAAGGAAGACAGAAAGCAGTTTTATTTCTGACAAGAGCTATTTAAGAAGCACTTCATATTTTTAGTAATTTTCAAGTAACTCAAGAGGAGGCCAGCTATGAAATTCTATGAGTGAATTTACTGCTCTCCATGTAAAAAGGAAACGTACCGATAATATGCTCTCAGGCAGAGTAGAGAAATGAAGATAAAGCATCTGAAAGGTTTGTTATTTTGAGGACCTGAGTCCTGGCAAAGAGATCAGCTTCAAAACGAAGGTAATATCTTTGACAAAGAATGCAGCAGAGGAAAAAACTGCATCATGCCAAAGCTTGTTAAGCGTAGATGGCTCTCATGTAGCATTAGTTCTGGAATATGGCACGCGAAATGACACATGAGGCAGAAGAACATGTGGAGTGTAATGTAAGGGTCCACAAAAAAAACAGCATGTGGAGCTGAGTATATTTTGGCATAAACGGCAAACAGATAATAATTTGAATTTGGAAAGTGATTGAAGAGCTGCGAATTGCGACATCACTTGTAACATTTGTCTCTTGGATCTGAAGACCTTCAAAATACTAACTGTAAGACTCCTTTAAAAAAAAAAAAAAACAACCAACACAAAAAACAGAGCTAATTTATGTATGAAAAAGACACTGGGTTATGAATTGACTTTGGGAGCCAGATGGAAACAAGGCAAAGAACCAGTCAGCAAGCAAAAGTGTTGGGAAGTGGTGAGCAAAACCTTTAAGTCAAGTATATTTCAGAGGTAATGTCAGAGTCAGAGCTGATTTTAAGCAATAGTGGGAACATAAAATAGAGTGTAATTGAGTCTAGAATAAAATGGATATTTGGATGAAGTCATCAAAAAGAAAACTGTAAAGGAAAATTACCTTAATCCTAACTGTATGTATGGGATAGCCCATGAAATGATTCAGACACTGAGGTGGTGGCCTGTTAAGTAGAGAGGCAGGAAGGTAGAATATTGCGCTGTAGAATTTAAAATTGGAAAATCATTTTCTGAGCTATATTCAAAGTGTGTGCTATGGAATCTAATACAGGAATTACTGGATCAAAGGACACAGCTTATGGCTAAAATGAAGCACGTGTTATGGGAGAGTGTGTCGCCTTCCTGCTGAGGCTGTTTCTTATTTTAAAATTATCAGATATTTAAACATTAGTTATATGCATATAGTTTGAAATGAGTACTAAATGCTCTCCTAACATGCTGTCATTCACAGAGTGACCTTTTTCTTATGAGGAGGTGTAGCTATAAGAAGAGATTTGTTCCATATGTCCAAATGACACTGGAGTCATGTACCCCAAATACCTTACGCACAGTGTGCGTAAAATGGCATTCTGATTTCATCTGGTAAAACCTTTGCTCTCTAAGAGTTTGTGCATTTATACATTCACATTCCAAACACTACTATGGAAGTTTTCCAGAATCCCAAGTGAAATTAAAGGGGAACACAGGCTACACTTGACAGAATTTATTTGGAAATGGGAGGTCGTCAGTTCAAATTCACATGGTTCTGCAAATTAAAAAGTGACATTACTATAGAGTGACACAAAACTGTTATTGTGCACAATATTTTATTTTACTGTAGGGATTTTGATGAGTACACATGCTAAGCTGTAATTTTCTCTTAGAGATAGATAAGCAACAAATTACAGTTCTGTTGTATGGTACTGTGTGCAAGAGGAAGATTACATGTTCTTCAGCTTAGTTTTAAAGAATATTTTCAGACACTTATCAGATATTTCATTGTAATGATGACATAAAGGTTAGAATTCCTGGTTTCCAGTGGTACTATACAGATTTTTTTCAGATCAGTTTTTAGATATAGAAAATCATTTTATATACTTCATACATTTAAAAGCTAACATTTGCCATATTGTTTCTTGTTTATCATGTGATTTCTGCAAATTGGACACAGGCACAGAAAATCTCTGCCTAATTATTCTCATATTTTACTGTAAATTACCATTTGTACTACAATTCCATTTTTTTGGCATATATTTCTTTCCTCCAAAGACCTATTTGCGAGTATTTGGACTGTCTGGTTAAAAAGACACATTAGATTTCATCTTGAGAGCAACCAAAGTAGAAACAGTTTGAGAAAACTGTTTTAATATTTGTGAATAGTAAGTAGTCCAACAATTGCCTTTAGTGTGGAGATGGTCTGCAGAGATGTGTCTTACTTTTTGGCATAGGATGGTGTCATTTCCCCTTGATATTTGTTATCTGCAGAATATTTGCTTGCGCTGTTGATCTTTGTGAGCTATTTGAAAGGTAGCTTGAAAAATTAGGGTGAATGTCTTCCTTGTATAGGTTTAATGTTTTTCCATAGTGTCATCAGGGTAGGGTGGTGTAAGATGGTATACGTATGGTTGCTTCTATTTTTCTGCTGTAGCTAGGTTTTGGCTAGCCCTTGTGCAAAGGCTTATAGTAAATGGGATTACATGAGGCTGGTGACCAGTCACTAGCAGGGGCTCCATTTTAGGGCCAGTTCTGTTTAATGATCTGTATACAGGATTTAACAGTATACCGAGTAAGTTCACAGATGGCACTAAATAATGAGGAGTTTTTGACTCCATTGATAAGAGAGGCCTTGCAGAGAGATCTTGACAAAATTGGAGGGCTGGACAATCACTAACCGCATAAAATTTAACAAGAGCAAGTGCTAGATTCTGAAATCAGGACAGAGTAACCCCACGTATAAGTACAGACTTGGGGACAAGAGCCTGGAGAGCAGCCCTGACAAAAGGGATTTGAGGGTGCTGATTGATGGCAGGTTGAATGAATTGTTAGCATGCCCTGGGAGCCAGAAGGGCCAACTGAACCCAGTAGGGCAGGTAGAGGGATTGTCCCAGTCTGCCCTGTGCTGGTGTGACCTCACCTCCAGTGCTGTAGGCAGCTTTGGGTACCATGATATAAGAAGGGCGTAAAACTATTGCAGAGCCTCTAAAGGAGGGCTATAAAGATGAGGAAGAGTCTGGAAGGCAAGACACATAACGAGTGGCTGAAGTCATCTGTTTTGTTAAGCCCAGAGCAGAGGAGCTGAGCAGAGGCTTCATGGCAGCCTTCAGCTCCTCATGAGGGGAGTGAAGGCACGGCGCTGAGCTCTGCTCTGTGACAGTGACAGGGCCTGAGGAAATGAGGATAGTCATGTTGAGGATTGGGAAAAGGTTCTTCACCAAAGGGTGAGCGGGCACTGGAACAGGCTTCACCTCCCACCCAGGCAGTGGTCACAGCCCCAAGCTACCAGAGATCAAGAGACATTTGGACAGTGCTTTCAAAAATGTGATTTGATTTTAGGTGGCATTCTGTGGGGCCAGGAGCTGGACTTGGTCATCCTTGTGAATCCCTTCTAATTCAGAATATTCTATAGATCCTGTGCTAAGTTTGTTCATATAATTATGTTGCATTTAAAGATGCAAATCTCCAACATATTATACACCAATAAGCTGTACAATATGTACAGCTGAGGGTCAATATAATAAAACAAGAGGTGTTACTTTTGGAGCACCCCTGTATTTCACTTTTATCTTTCTTGAAGGTTAATCAACTAAAGATTAGCAAATGTTCTGAAATTCAAACAAGAAGCAGTCATTTAGAGTGAAAAATGGCTTTCCTTTTTGATTTTGTTTCACAGAGAATTACTGGAAAAAGTGCCATGCAGGCACTGAATTTAATTCTGGTTATGGCTTAGTATTTATGCTTTCTTAGTTCTATATGTTTTTTTACTAACTCTTGCCTTGGTATTGTTATACTGTGAAAATAAATGTATTGACATTTTTGTGACTGTTTTCCATAGACTGAAATTTATATGAGATCACTACTCATGTATGAAAATTAAGAGTATTAGAAAGGGAGTGAATAAAATAGATCTATGCTTTGTACAGGTGGGCAGGCCAGATTCTGGAAGGTTGCTGTGCTAGGTATGCACTTGCTCATTATCTACCCATGAGAGAAAAGACAAACCAGGAAATATTTTTAAAATGAGTGTTACAATTTGTTTGCAGGTCTTGCTAGCTATCATCTATTATAAAACATTTGTAAGTGCTTAGAGATCTAAAATTACTTTTACCAAAACTATAGAGAATTCAGCAAATATGTTTAGCTAAAATACAGAGGAATTAGAAAATTCAAAGCAATTTCAGATTTAGTAAGTGATTCTTACCAATGTATGTTTCACTTAAAAATTGATGTGCATTTTTGAAAAGGGAACATTTTCTGAAGAGCTAACTAATGCCAGACTGAAATGTTTCATCCTCAGTCAAACAAAATATGCACTGGAATTTAACTTTGGCTCAAACCTGATTGGTAATAAAAATTAATTTAATTCTCCCAGCAGATTCACCATAGAATCATAGAATGGCTTGGGTTAGAAGGAATCCCTGATGCATGCAGGGCAGCCAACCTCCACATTTAATACTAGACCAGGCTGCCCAGGGCCCCATCCAGCCTGGCCTTGAACACCTCCAAGGACGGGGCATCCGCAGCCTCTCTGGGCAGCCTGTTCCAGCACCTCACCAGCTACAATGCAGCTTAGAAGTGATGTAAATGTAATGTGTACAAGTCAAAACATTTCTTATGTTGAACAGCTTCAATTCTTATAATATCTAGTAGTATATATATTTTCAAATGGAGATAACTAAGAAAGGCATAATGAGCATGTTTGTAAATAGACTTGATGATGTTTACTGAATTATCTTGTTGGTTATATTAAAATAGCTGTGCTAAAATAATAGTTTTCCACATCTGCACTAGTTCAGCTAAGAGCAAATTTTGACCTGCAATCTGAAAGGGGAGGAAAATAGCTGTAGAATAATGGCAAATTTTCACATGTGAAATAAATTGTTACTTCTGTCTCATACCATGTTATTTATTGCTTTTTGTTCTATGGGAAGATGCTGCAGGGGTGCTAAGCATTTCTAATAGAAACCTCTTCTTTTCCGTACAGATGACAACACATTTTCTGACGTGTTTTGTGAAAACTCCAAGAAACTTATCAATGTACACTTATTTGCCCTCGCTGCCAAGCATTATTCTTTGCCTAACCTTGGAGTGTGTACCCCATTAGAAGAGATACTTGAAGCGCTGAGAGGAGACAGCCAAGAAGCAAGTGGTATATTTACATTTATATTTCAGTTTTTAATTCTCTCGCTACAGGATCTGCAGAGTTTTTGTTCCAGAGGGCGGTTTTGTGTTGTTTTTTTGTTTTGTTTTGTTTTGTTCTTACATGCATTTCTTTCCTGCATGCTTCTCAACTTCAAATCTCATTTGTTCTTAGATAATTTCTTCACTGCCATTTCTTAGAAAGTGGCTTCTTGTGCTTAAATTTCAGCAGAGGGGTGACAGCATTCAGGCTTTTGTTGAGATTCTCCGTGTTTCAAAGGGGTTGAGATAGGCAATCAGGCACATCATTATTTCATATACAGATGAAAAATCTTGTTAATTCCTTTTGTTTTTCTTCTCCAACAGCAACACAAATTATAACTGCTAGTATTGGGGTTTTCTTTGTTTGTTTTCAAGTCTCAGTCTAAAGTCAGGCAGCCATACCTCTTCAGGTGCTGTTTTTTTGCACACAACTTTTGTTTAATGTTAGACATGTGCTTGGGCATTTAACTGAATATGGCCCAGTAAGAATCTGATATTTCAAAAGAAGCTGCTTTTATTCATTCTGTATTTTTTGGACCAGTACCAAATATGTGTCCTAAAATTAGAGTAGGTTCATTTGCTGTCTTTGAAGAGATTGGCTGAAAACACTCTCAAGGTGGTATCTTTACATTGGAAGTCTTCCCTCTAATTTTTTGTTTGTTTGTTTTGGATGATGAGCTTACATTTATGCTTTGACTGCTGTCATTTTCACTGCATCTGTTCTTTATGGAATCTTCAGTCATAGGTTTCTCACCATCTTTCAGATTTCTCATTAGTTTTTCAGAGACAGACTCTAAGCCAGTAGCCTTTGCTTTTTAGTGCACTTTGTCACTGTAATAAATTAAAATGCCTCTGATGTTTCCCATCCTAAGTGATAGCAACAATTTAGATACATTAGGCATCTCTCCTGTTTTCTACAGCAATCTTCTCTTTCCAATTTTGCTATTTTTCATATTTGTCTCCCCAGTTTTAGATTTCTTCAGAATTACTGAAACAGCTCAAATAGCCTTAATGGTTTGTTGTGCATTGATCTTGCTGTAAGTTTAGTTCCTGACTTCTTTCCTTCTGCTGTTTTTCTGCCTGAAGCCTTTTTTCCTCGTTTGACAGCTGTGTGCTGCTTTCCTTTTGCTTACTCTTTAGCTATTAGCATTTTCGTTATGTTCTCATTCTCTGTGTTCTGCTTAATTTTCAGTAATTCTGTAGTTCTTCCTTGTTATATATGTACATGTACTTGAGTTCATGCTTGGATTGACTTTCTCAAGCAAAAATACAAGGATTCTTTCATCATTTTCCTCATGCAGAATGAAACATATAAGACAATTACTAATTATTTTGTTCTGTGTCTTGAAGGAGTTCTGTTTTGTTGGGTAGCTGGGATCTGGGTTTGTGGTGTAGTTATTCTAATGGTACTTCACTGAGAAAATGTTCTAATGTTCTGAACATAAACAATGGTATTATAATTCAAAACCTTTGTGTTGAACTGGCAAAGTATCAGTTAAATTAACTTACTTGGATGAATTAACTGCGTGTGTAGTTCTCTAATTTCTATAGCATATTGATGCAGACATATTACTATTCTTATTTAGAATGATTACCTGAAAAGGTTAGTTCCAAAATTTAAGTGTAGTCTGAATGTGAAGTGTTTTTTCCATTCCAATGAAGTTCTCTGTGGCCCTCATTGCCCCACTGGATTGCTTGTGTTGAGTGCAAGGATCCAGAAGATCTGACCCAAGAGGAACAAGCCAGTAAGGACAATTTCTCTTTTATACTTGACATAAGGAGAGAGGCTTGCTAAAATATTGAAATAGCAGTACTTTCTACCTTTTCATTGTGTTTATGCACTATGTAATAGTCATGCAATTGTTAATAAATCTATCTTTAAATTACATGGGCTGTCTGAATGATTTTTAGCATATGGTCATCCCAGTCCCTGCCAGTCTTGGCTGATAAAATTAAATTGCAGTACTGTAACTTCTGTGTAGATAGTGTTGTAAATTATGAATGGACTGAAAATTTCTTTTAAATCTGGTATATCTGACTTTCAACAGGTAGCAAGGGTATAAAAGATCTGGAAGATCTGCATTAGGCATATATGAAATGCATTCGCTCCTCACTTTGTCTAGGTCAGAACTAAAGATGTGGGTACAAATAGCACTGTAGAGTTAAAGCAGTTTTTCAATTGGAAAGCATCTACTTACGCTAGGGTTCACAATGTAAACAAGCAGCATTTCAGTACCACTTAGACATTAAGCTCTCTTTTACTCTGTGATATCCAGAGTACTTCTGTAAAGTATTGGAGCCTCACTTTCTTCTTAGGTCACAGAAGGATGTTTTGGGCATCTAAACCAGACCTTAAAGAGTTGGTTTTTTTTTCCTATTAGATTGACATATGTTTGCTTGTTTGCCAAAATGATTTAAAAACAGACAAACACAAGGCTATTGCAATCAACATTTAGCAGAAAACCCAGCAAAAATAAAACTAATAAAAGTAATCTTCTGCAAGCAGTGCAATTTTGCATGTGCTGAAATCTAGGCAGTTTTCATTCTGCAAAATGTAGGTCTAAAAATAATTTAGAAACTGTAGTAACTAAGGTGATAAATATATGTGTAGGTGTGAGCACACAATTTTTTTTCACCTGGAACCTCAGTTCCTTTAAGTTGGGTCTTGTTTCAGGGTTTGCCCCTGGCATTTGAAATACTTTGGCTTAAGTGCTGTTTGAAATTCTATTGCAGAGTATTACCATGTCAGTCATTTGATCTTGTATTATAGCAAAGGGTGGAAGGTGCGATATGTGATGATGGCTCAGAGTGAAGGGGCTGCTTTGGAGACCAGACAAACAAATCTTTTATTTCTTTAAAAAATATTTAATATCTGATTCTTCATTTTCTGCATTTTCTTTTTCTTTTCTTTTTTCTTTTTTTTTTTTTTTAATTGAGCTTATCCAAAAAGTTCAAAAGTAAAAAAAAAGGGTTTTTTTTTTCTATTTTTTCTTCTTCTTTTTTCATTTGAAATAGTTACAAATTAAGAGTTTTTGGGAGGCCATAGAGATCTTCACCATTTTAAGCAAATGGGAGTCTTTAGTGAATATTTTAGCAAAACACTTGTTTCTGTTTTTTTGTTTCGCTTTGTTTTGTTAAAAATATTTTAGGCTATTATTTTCTTCTGTCAGTTGTTAGATTTTTAATTGTCATAGCAGTTTGTTATTAAAAAAACAGATGTTTGAGAAATTGAAAGATCCTGTGGGTTTTCAAGAAATAGAGAAAACATCAGGTTTCTCATGAGCTCAGTGCAGTTCCCCACTCTCTTTTAAATAAGTAATGCTCCTGGCTCTGTTCCCAGCATGGTCTGATCAAGGAATGAACATAGATTTTACCTAATGATCAGATTTTGGACAGACGAAGGCATACTGTGCAAAAAGCAGAAAATGGGAATATATTAATCCGTTTTGTTTTCTAAGATCATGCTCACCAGTAGCAGTCCTCTTTCTTCTACCCTCACCTAGACTTTCAAAAATTGCTATCAATTTAACTCATAAGGTTTCTCACAAGGGAGCTGCTTCTGAGCTAGTCCTTAGTTGTAGAGATGTAGCTACGTAAACTGGTGCTAGAGGTTGGTTTCATCTCATTAACATATTTTGAGTCATTTTCTTCTGAAAACATATAGCAGTTCTATTATCTATCCATAGTGTAAATAAAGGGGAAAAAACACTGCATCTTTCTTTAAATTTTACCAGCATTGTCATAACCTTTATTTAAGGTATCTCCCACTTGATACTTTGAACAAATCTGGAGAATTAACAAACAACACTGTGTGACTGTTAATTGTCCTTGCCTTTATATTTCATATATGTAAATATCAATATGATAAATCACATAAAAATTAATCTTTTTAAATGAAAAAATAAAAGAAAGTAGTTATTTGGTAATAGCTTGTGTCTAATATCTGGTCAGGTCTTAGATACTTACAGTTTTTTAAAAAAAAACTACTTTAAAAGTGCTATATTTTAAAGTGTTGATTTTTTTCATTTATCTATTTTTATGTATAATTCAGTTTAGTCTTGTAACTGCTCAGTGGATGTTTAATTAAAGATTACTGCTCTTAAAGTATAAAAAATACTTAGAAATGCTTTTAGACTGGAAAATATTCTAATGGATTATAAATGTTTATTATTATAGATTGTGTCAATATGTATATATTTTCTTAATCTGATACAGGTATCAAAACTGATGAGTTTATGAATAATAAGAAATCGCATGAAGTACAAGCAATGTCAGAGCTGGTAGACAAAATAGCAAAGTACTGTGGTTTAAAGCAGGTAAGAAGGCATTTCTTAATGTATGTTACTGTTTAATTATCTTTGTTCTCTTCAAATACCATATTTTGATATTTTTCCTCGCAGCTCTCATTTTTTCTACAAATAATATAGCTAAAGAAAAGCCTTTAGGGGCAAGCTGAAGGGCAGTTTTGTTTATAAATGGGTTGTTCTCAAGGAACTGCCTTTTAGAGAGCCATGGTCATTTTGTGACTCAAAAAAAAAGTAAGAAATCTTTTCATCCTCTGTATATTGATCAGCTAAAAATTGCACTGCTTTTTGCTAGGCACAGACAGTGCCTTGTTTCAGTTGCTGCCTTCTATTGCTGGCAATTTACTGTAGACTTCAGTAGAAGGACAAAACTTCAATCTTCACCTGTGAGACGCACAAGAGTAACACATAGGGAAAAATGCAGATAATCTAAGGAATTTTGAAACCACATGCATCAGATGGCAAGTTCATCCTTGGGTGATGAAGAATTGCAGCATTTCTCTTCCAAAATGCAACTGTAACTTACCCTTTTCTTAATGTCATTAGGATTGTGTAATTCACTAAGTCATTGTTACATGAAAACCTTGTAGATGTTTACTAATGCTTCTCTTGGCAAAACACAAGCATCACAACACTTGACTTCTTTCAGTACCATATTTCACATTGTATGTGTTAGACACATGTTATTTGCTCAGACTGAGTTCATTTTAGATAATGTAAACGATATGTTCTGATGAAGTATTCTTCATAGGTTTGGGTCAGTGTCTTTAGAAGCTGAAGATCAAAATTCTGAACTCTAACTTATCTGTTTTGTAAGGAGCAGCTGCAAAGGGCAAAGTTCTAGGCAATCTCCTCATTACAACTGGGAATCTCGAGTAAACAGAGAACTGCAGCTGAGGCCAAATATTACTGGATGAGTTGCGGTCTGTGAGCATCTGTAGTTACTCAGAGATGGTATGAGATCTCTCCAGTAGCTCGATCAGGAGATAGCCACAGTAACAAATGTGGATGTCCTGTACAACCGTAAAGTGTATGCACTCTATAAAGTGTGAAAATGCAGTAGTAATAGATACACAAAAGTAAATTCTAGTCATTCTATTTGCATATTTTTTTGCCTTGCTTACCTCTTCCTTCAGGTGAGTGTCAGTTGTTCAAGTGTTGAAGACTTTCATGTACTGAAAAAGTTTTAGAAATGTGTAGTTTGCAAATAATGTGATACTAAATGTTCTCTGCATTTGCTAGAAGATGAATTGGTGGTGTTTCATATACCATTTTCATTTTGATTTTAAATACTTCCCATGAGATTCGTGAGTGAGAGGAAAGAAAAAGCCATAATCAGAGAGTGAAAAAGTAGAGCCACCTTAATGACCTCAACTAAGTCTCGATGTAGCTGGTTACTAATAAAATCTCAAACTAACAATCATTAAGTATCTGTCAATGCACTACAATTTCAGCCTGTGATGATGCACTTTTATCAGATGACTTGGAGTATCCTTAGGATTATTTTCTGTTTATTTTTTGAAAAAATCGTAGCATTTAATGAAAAATATGGTTGCAATATATCTCTGAATATGAAATGCTGACTGCTTTATATTAACTTTTTTCCATTTTAGTCATATACTGTGAGAGAATTTATTTGTTCAAAGTTACAAATCCCTAATATATGAAAAGAGCTTTCCAGTACATGTTAAAAAAGAAAAAAACAGAAAAGCCTCCTTCCCAGTTATTAAAAAGCAACTTCTATTGTTTTGGTTACCTTTCAACTTAAAACAATATAAGGATTGTAAAGTTTTAGGAGAGTGTTTTCTTTATTGATTTTTTTTTCTGTCCTACTCGGCAAAACAAAATGTATATAACATTTAATTAAAAATGCTAGAGCTATGAAAACACAACACATGTTTTACAATAGCATGTGTCCTCAGGGTGTTTCTTTCAGATATTACAGATCACTGACGGGTTGAAAAATGCCCTCCATTTCACCTCCATACCATGATGTATAATGGGCAGTAGAGCATATTGTCCTCTTGTGGTATTTTACAATATACTAAACATATAGTAAAAATAAAAATGAAAGCAAAAATTCTATTATTACTGTAATTACTTTGAGATTAATGATTTGAATTAAAACATTAAAGCAAATTAACTGAAGTTTTATTCAGTTGTTTACTGCTCCTCTTTAGCATCATTGTCCTCATACAAGCGGAACTTTTTAGAAAGAAGTTCTTGATTAAAGTGTGAAAAGAAGCCATTAGTAATTTTTCTTTACTTAATTGCACATTTGATGTATTTGTGAAAGTTTTCTTTGGAAATTGCAGCATGTCCAACAGAAGTTGCAAGTATGATGTAATTCGGCATTCACCATCCATTACATTTGTGATTTGGTGCTCGGAAAAGTTGTAAGGCGTATGGAGTTCTTGACTGTGTGCTGCCAGAAGGTGTATTTAAACATAGTACCCAGCTCACTATGGACAGGACCTTTGGAGATCATTATATCATGGAAATTTCATTTTAAATGTTCATGCTTGGCAGATCTGCTATGGGTTACTGGTTGTCTTTCCTTATGTCATCAAGGGAAGGTAAAACATGGATTAATTTAATCCACTCTATTTGTTGAGCACAGGATCATTGCATTTTTAGTCAAAATTTCCTCGTTTCAGAGCTAATTTCCCAGTGCTAATTAAACAGTGTGTTATTTTTTCCTGAGAATAGATGCCTTATGCCAGGAAGTGTTCAAGATCAGCTTGGACAAGGCTTTGAGCAACATGCTCTGTTGGTCTATTCTCTGCCTATGGCAGGGTGCTTGGGTGATCTTTAAGGTCCATTCCAAAACAAACTGTTTTGTGATTCTTTTCACTTGTAAACAGCTGAAAAAATCTTCAAGAACCAGCAGTTGGTCTTTATAGCCACTAGAGATCATGTGTATGAGTCAGGAGTATTCAGTAATTCTCTGCCCAAATACTGACTTCACAGAAGTAGTTAAAATACCTTGTAGAAGTGGAGATGTGCATATTCTGCATAATAATAACATCTGTTACATGAATTACTCTTGGGCACTTTTCTTTCCTTCAATTTTAAATAATCTGAGATAATATTAATGATTAATGTAATATATGACTGTATCTTCTCCTCACTCAAGAAATTTGAGGATTCTCATGTACCTAGACAAGTAAACATGCAGTAATATTATATGGAGAAGGCAAAGGAGAAAGGTGTGTATAGCCTGAGTAGACAATTTTTACTTAATGGCATGTATTCTCCACTGTTTTTTTTTTGTAGTCTTTAATGGCATTTATTTAATCTTTTCTTCCTAATTCCATGGCTGTACAAATCTTTTGTATTTTTAGAATAATTTTTTTTCATTTCTGTCAGGATATTTCTGAACTGCATATTCCTACCTAGTTAAAACATACGCACTTGTGTTTAAGATGGATACATGCAATATATTCTGGCATTTACACTTACGCAGTCAGTCTCTACTTATGAATGTTCAACAAACCAAGAACAAGACATGAAAAACATTCTCAAATTAATCTTTTTCAGGGACATCTACAAAGTCATTGTATATGTTCAGTATATATTTTTTGATTCATATCTGAACAGAAGTGAATGTTATGGTTTCCTTCCCATAGAGAAATGTCACTTAAAGTGTCACATGCTATCTGCTACGAGAGAAACTGAACTTTCAGCTGGTTATCATTCCTATTCACACCTTCCTTCAGAACAGGCAGTGGAAAGCACATGGGATATACCAGGCCCTTTGTTTTATTACAAAAACATCCTTCTGTTATACTGATTTGTACAGATTATTTTCACGCACACAAAAAAAGGTATAAATAGGTGTTCTGACGTAAGAGGCAGTATTAATATGGCATGTCTTTAGGTCACCTCTGAATTGATTATGTTAAGCACTGAGACTGCAGACATTTTCTTCTGTGTGCGTGTAGTAGACTCCTAAGTGTCTAAACTTCCTATGAGTATTTTAACCCCGTTTGGCAAGGGCAGGTGGTAGTGCTGGTGATTTATGGTTATTTTCTTTAACAGAAGGAAGTTCTATGTCAAAATACATACTGAAAGTATTTTCCAAAAGCGTCAGGACATGTGCAGTGCATAAGCATTGCACTGTCTGTTTCCTAAAGGAAACCAGTTTTGACTTAATTCTGTTTTTTAAAGTCAGAAAGTGTGCCAGAAAGCAGATTTAAGTGTAGTAAGAGGGATAACTGATAAAAGTCATTATCAAATCCCTGCTTAGTTTTTTAAGGAAATATTTTGCGTTTGATTTAAATGTGTCTTGTTGCTCATTAATATGGTACTTTTTTTTCCTTTTTTCTATTTTTTTTTTTTCCTTTTTCTCCATTATCAAGGTGATTGATATAGGTTCTGGAAAGGGCTACCTGAGTTCATTTTTGTCTATGCAATATAACTTGAAAGTTTATGGAATCGATTCATCGAAAACCAATACTAACGGCGCTCATGAAAGGAACAGGAAATTGAAGAAACACTGGAAAACTTATCAGAGTCGAGCAAGAGTCAATTCTGAGACCCAGAGGTTGGAAAAGCCAATAAAAAATGAAGTTAAATGTAAAGCTATCAATGAAAAGCCCTTAAGTAATAACAGCAGTCTTCAAAGTCAAGACCAAGGGACTACCCAAGACTTAGTTCCTTCTTGTGTTTTCACAGAAGTAGCTGTATCTGAGACCAGCAAACAAACTGAGATCAATTTGGCTCAGGCACAGTCTGATGAGAGCAAGCTTTCCGAAGAGGCTCTTGCTGTTCTCAGTGTTCTGCCTGCTGATGCTGTAGAATTTTTTTCTTCATCCCCCTGTAACTATGGGGAAGTCCGTGAAGAGGAAAAAGCACGAAGAAAAATGGCTTTTATGAAGGCAAAAGAGAGCAAGTCAAGTGAATCAAGCCTTTATTTTCCATTGACCTCCTACATCAGCGCAGAAACAGAACTCAGTGACATCATAACAGATTTAGAGGTTACGTCACTAATATTTGAAATATATTTTCCTTTGTCTTTATATTGCTGTTTTCGTACATCCGTAATGTGTGATGTGTGTACATATGTGAATGAATACTCTGACCCAGCTAGTTTACACTAGTATGTATTACAGATTCAGAGATTATTTTTCTACTTCAGTATATGTGTTAGTATTGTTTCGAATATGTAAAACAGCCTTTAGAATTTATCGAGTAGATGATAATCAGATGTCAAAATTAACAGTACACATATTAACATATTCGACTGTCTTACAGATCACAGATGATTACAGATGACATCTAAGTGTTTAAGAATTTTTTATTTACCAGGGAGACAAATGTCTTAAGCCCTGGAATTTCAGTTTTCCTGAAATTTCTTGAAGTTTGATATTTTTATAATTTCAATAAAATTTTGAAGGCATGAAGTAATTTATTGAGTACATTACTCAACATCAGGAGTTTATAATGAGCTGTATATTTAAATAACGTTATATTTTGGCCTTTCCATGTTACTTAGTAATCTGCTAGCTGGCAGGAACTGTGTCTACACATGCAAGTCCAAACCCAGCTGCCCAAAGACAGTGACGCAAGTCTAGAAGCTGCTACTGTGCCTGAGCTGACATATGTTGATTGAGTAGATACAGTCAGCCTTTTATGGAAAGATGAAAACTTGTATGCGTTCATATACTCAAATGTGTATTTCATTTCTCATTTAGGAATACATGTTTGTGTTATTACTTTCTTTACATACCTCTCAACAGTAGGTAAAGCATCTGCCTTTAACATTTGCATGTTTGGATTTTATATCCTCTTAGTATATGATTTGTATGATATAAAAGGCAGGAAAAATCCTCCATCACTGCCTGTCTTTAAAAAAACTTAACTGTAAAAAGTAAACACTGTACTGTGGTAAAAAAAAAAAAAAAACAACAGACTGCATGCTACATGTGATGAATGTGCATAATTAAAATACTTTAAAAAATGTAATCATTTAAATGGCTCTAAAATATTTTTGGAAGTTTTAGAAATGTTGTTTTTCAAATAGTCTTACAAACATTTACATTTATTATTTTAACCATAAATTGTGTTTTTGTCTCAGTTTTTTCTAAACTGGGGGGAAAAAAGTGGAATGTGTAACATTAGTATTTACTGATTCATACTGTAAGTCCTGAAATTCATTTGAATTGCTGATGAAGTGTGGGGGTAGAAATGTGTGTTTGTTTGTAGCCCTGGACAAATGCTGAGGTACAAATTTTACTGCACTGACACCAGTGATCCAGAAAGTGTTTTCAGTTGCACGCAGGCAACCTCAGCGAAGTCAGGGATGGTCCAGAAGCGTGCCTGACCCAGGCAGATCATGCTCATATTGTTCAGAGGTTTTGAGCATTGTAATGTGTTTCCTGGATATGGAATGGATGGCATGCGGAATCGATAGCCATCTTCCACTCACTTTCCCCTGAAAGAACCTCTCTGACTTTAACTCAGTGGTTTAAATGCTGCTTTTGCAAGTGCATGTCTTCCATTAGCCTCCAGACATCGGTATTGTTCTGCTCTGTTTTATGTGGAAGAAAAGCTTTGTGGAATGGTGAGCTGGAGCTGACAAACAGGAAGAAAAGTCTTTAAAAACTAAGCTGAACTGGAACTGAACTTTTGCCACCAAAAATTTGCTAAGAAAAGCAGAGGGCAATCAAGGAGAAGTAGCAAAGAGTGAAAAGAAAGAACAGTAAGAAAAAGGAGTTTGTACAGTTTCACACAAATGTGTACTATACAGATACAAAGTAATAAAAAAAATAGATATGTACGTAGAATCAGAAAGGTTCCACAACTGAACGTTGGCTAATTATTTGTTGATTATGTTTAATAAATACGACTGGAATTCAAAGCAATAAGCACCATGTTTAGATCCCAGTGCTAGAAGGGAAAAGTCTTGTTCTGAACAGTGAGAAGAGGGGTGATTTAGATGGTGAAATAGAAGAAAATGGGAAACTGAGGAAGAAGGAAACCAGAAATTAAAGTGGACGGAGGAATGGAGTATCTGAAGTTCTTTATTTTAGGGAAGAAATTTCTGTTATTGAATCTACAGTCATAGGGACACCACAGTACAGCTACAGTTCTGGAAGTAACAAAGCAGATGAAGAAGGGCCTGTTCTTTAAGTTAAGTTTATTAGGAAGTGGTTTTGTTTTCAGCAATTCAGAGTAGCAAAAATGCCATAGATCGGTCCAACCGTCTGTATTGTGGTAGTCAATCTGAAATAAGAAAAGGAAGTAGCAGTGGTAGTAAAAATTATGACAGGAAGGCTAGGAGAAAATGGCCACTGTCCAGTCATCATGCAGATGTTCCCTCCCATGCAGTTAAATCGCTGCTGTTCACAGTCCTGAGCTTTTGCTTCCTCTTGGAGATAATGTATATAGAAACAGAGCTCCATAGATGAACAAAATACTGAGCAGTCTGGTTCCTCACAAACACTGTGTTTTCTTAAACTGGAGTGCTTTTCTTATGCCTAGAAAAGATTCTGGAACAGAACACGTGGAGCTGTCATGCAGTTGTATATTTAAACCTTGTAGATGAATAACCCTTTGCAATATGTTTGGGTTTTGGATTTTGTTGTTATTCGTGTTCTTTCAGTTGCACAGGGAGATGCTTTATATTGAGCATTTTTTTTCTCTTCCTAGGACTGTATAATGGTTGGTCTGCATACATGTGGTGACCTTGCTGCAAACACACTACGAATTTTTACTGCCAAGCCTGAAATCAAAGCAGTTTGCAGTGTAGGCTGCTGCTACCATCTGTTGACAGAACAGTATGAAAACCAAGAAGGTAATTTTTCTGTGCTCAACTTGTGGCTGCCAGTTTGCATGTTGGGAATATTATACCTTTTAATTAATAACCTCCTGATGTTTGTTCCTTTCCAATGGCTTATTTAGTACTCATTTTAATTACATTACGTGGGTCATTCACTCCTGGATGCCCTGTAGCTTTCCTGTTATGCCAATATTGCCAATATTCGTACTGAAATTAGGGATGTTAATGCAGAATGTTTTAATGTGGTTATGAATACAGCTGGTTTTATTCCATTACTTCACTCATAAAATGTGTATATGTTTTTGGCCAATGTTTTCATCCTTTTGAAATGTTTTGTACCAGATTTTGCCTTTGGCTGTCTGCATGTAGCATCCATTTATGTTGAGTTGTACATGTACAACTATAAGCAGAATTAAGTCCTTGTAATGTACTCTAAAAAACATTCATCTGAATGCTGTGCTCTGGGGCTCTGCCATTTTAGAACATTAAGAAATAGCACATTTAATAGCTTTTCTTGGAGAGACAAGCTGAAAATCATTTGGGTTCTCAAACCACAGGGGAATTTTCCTTCAAAAAAAAATGTTATTAGTACTTCTGATAGAAAACTGATATCTTTAGTTGAAAAAATTACTTACTTTTCTGTACAGCCTTCAAACAACAAAAAGTTGCAGATTATCTTTGCACAAGTGTATGAATGCCTGCTGGATTAGTTGGTTTAGCATGGAGATCTCATGCTGTTTCTGTTGTCTGCTGTTAAACAATCAACAATGATGGAGTCATTGCTAACAGAAGTACTACTTTCTGTTTGATTTAATACTTTCTGCATATCAACTCAGAAGTGTTCTAGTATAAGATATTAAAAAAGGACTTAAACTACAGCTAAGTCCTGTCACGTCGCTTTCTACTTCATCATTCAATGTCTTTTCACTGGGATTTTCTACAGCATCTTCTGTGCCTACTTCAAGTAGTGTACAGATTTACAAATGCATTAACATCTTCATTTCTGTTCAGCTCATTTGTTTTTGATCCATAATGAAAAGCATTAAGTAGCTGGCTTTTCTGAGCAAACAAGTGTAATGTAGCTGAGCTGTCTAAATGACCATCTGCTGAAGATGAAACTGATAAGCATATCAACCAAATTTGGGAAAGAGTGGATTGGCAAAGTTTATTTCATCTGTCTCAGGGAGCTATATAGACAGAAAGGCAGGAGGAACTCAGCTGTTATTCTGTAACAGTTGGCTGCTCAGCCAGCTGAGGCGTAGCTATGGGTTGACCACAACACATGCTAGCTGTGTCTTGTTTTAGTAATCTTTTTGTGTACGTTGCTCAGTATGGACCTGTGGAGTTTTGAAAGCTTTTGGAGTTTACTGATTTCAATTATTTCACAATGCTTCAAAAAAGAAAAGATACAATAGAAATTTATTCTGCTTTATTTGAAGTCTAGAAACTCAATTAGTGAAAAAAAACAAAACAAAACAAAATTATTTTACATTAAAGTTTTAAAAAGTGATGAACTTTTTCAACACTCAATTTGAGTGTATCAAACATTTGGTTGTTTCTTGTTATTGCAAAGAGGATACAGCTTCCTGCTCTAGTTATTGGATGCTTACTTTTTCCAGATCATTATGTAAGGCTTTACTAAATATTGGTACTCAGACACAACCAAAGCATCAGATGTGATAGCCCATTCTAAGTTCAAAGAAACAGATGTGCATGCAGTTTTATAATATTATGGAAATGAGATCAGACTGCGCTGGAATTTCTAGCTGTTGGATTTTCCTCTAGTTGATGGATGCAAATAACTCTTAAAGAATTCTTTATGCAGAGTAAAAAGAAATTATAGTATTCTTTCGGGGGGAAAGAACATGGAAGATAGAGTAATGCTCAAAAAAAATTATTATTATTTTTTTATTACTGTTGGCATTACTAAAATGTTGCCATATTCCCCTGGAGAGGACATTATATGATTCGTTGGTGAATGTGCAGTGGAGGGCTGATGGTACAAGGACCAGCAGTGATTCAGCAGCCCATTTCAGTGTTTGACCATCCTTACCACCAAGTTTTTTTTTTCTGAAGTTCTCAGCTGAAGTGCATAATGTCCTTTCACTATGCATCTCCAGGAGTCTGGTTTAACCTCTTCTCTTCCTTTCCATTAGGTAGGAGTTAACACTGAAGTTAGATCCTCCTTCACCTTGTCTGCAGCCCTGTAGTCCCAGTCATTCCAGTAAGGGTGGAACATCCAAAGAAGCTCTAGATGGTCTCACAAGTGCTAAAGAAAGCAAATAATCATGTCTCTGAACCTGTGGTGAGCACTGAAACACTGTTAGTTTTCTACTCATGTTATAGTCCACCTGCTGGAATCATTAATAAATTTACCAATGCTAAATATAGGAGGAGAATGACCTCTTTTGACCAGCTTGCTGTGCTATTTAATTCAACCTAAAATGCGGTTTGCTTTTTTGTCTGTCAGGGCACACTGCTGATTCATGTTGGACCCTCAACTATTCTCAGTATCCTTGTTCCAAGATTTGTTCCATAATCTTGCTGAGAACTGAACTTAGCCTGAGCATGGTGTTTGCCTTTTTCCTGTCACCAGGAACCTCCCTTGATGGATGTGACTGTTCAAAGATAATAGTGTGGCCTTCTTGTGACATCAGCGAGTTCACTCAGCTCTTGACATGCATCCCATCTGGTCTCTTGGACTTGTGTATTTCCAGATTGCTTGTGTGGTCCCTGTACTGTAGGTAGTGCATCACTTCCTCTGGCTCTGCCAGGGAAGCTAATGAAGGCCTTATGTGGAGAGTATTAGAATGCAGACTTAGAGCTAGGACTCTGTGGTGACAGACAGAAGAACTTCCTAAGAAGCAGACCAAATTAATTGTGCGGAATTTACTGGAACATAGGAAGTCACAATTGTTTGAAATCAGTCCAATATGCGAGGGTTTGTCTCTGAGGCCACAGTGGGACATTCTATTATAAATCATTTTATACTTGTTTTATCTTGGCTTAGTGGCTTTGAGGATTCTCTGTTTTAGACATGTAAGTACTTGATTTTATATTTATATTAAGCTTTTGCCTGGTTTACCTTGAGGTGCTTATTGTAAAGAAGGTTGAGAGTGTCTGTCTAAAACTTCTGCCTGTCTTGTTCTGCATCAGAGAAAAATCTCCAGCACCACCAAAGTAGCACATTTTCCATCTTCCCCTCTTCCTTTTCTTTAATGTAAATGCAGATGGTTGTTCTTCTAAGCCTTGTTAAAGCAGATGTGCCAGCCCACACAAAAGCTACTGGGGACTCACAGTTGCCATAACTTGAAAAAAATGGGCTGTACATTGCTTGGCAGTTGTATTTTATTTAATACCAAAGTCAGTCTTGTTTGAGGCCAGTGAAAAATTGTTCTTTCACTTTTTATTAAATGGGATTAACTGATACTCATGGGAAGAAAATTTACCTGTTTCAATGCCTAAAGTAGCTTTTGTAAGTCTGAGATTTTGAGATGACAAAAAATCAAGAAAATATTACTAAGCTAGTTCTGGCAGGCTGTTGGTTCAACTGGATATTGGAAGGCTGTTTTTTTTTTTTCTGAGGAGTTGCGAACTAATAGCTTACATTTCTCTTACAATCTAAAAATAGTAAAGATATAAAATTGCTCAGTTCAGTGTGCCATTGGTCCTGCTGTGAATATGTTGGGAGCAAATTGGATAAAAAGTGGATGCCATAGTCACAGTCTTGGATCTTGCAGTTGACATACAGTATATCCTTCTAAATATCTACAAGTAAACTAAATTCTTCTGGATTTTTTTTTTCTTTTTCAATGAGCGAATGCTGGAAATAACTTTGAACTCTTAAGAACATGAGAGCCTTCATTTTATTAACTACAACAACAAAAAGGTGCTGTATAATCTCCAAATTACGTTCAATTAAAAAAAAACCTGAAGCCATTGACTGTTGAGACAGTTGGCTTTAAATTTTATGGATGTCAAAGGTCGTATCAAGTACTAAACTTCAGTTAATAAGGAATGTTATGACAGCTATCAGAAAATTCTAAGTAGTTTTAGTTTGACTTTCTTTAAGAATTGGCTGTTTGTACAGAGATTCTTCTATGCATTAAATGTGCTTTGCCATTACTACAGTGGATTCCTTTGGGGTCTTTCTTCACTGTTACTGCATCTGATAGTCAATTACATCAGAATAGGAAGGATTTTTCTAGAGACTTTTCACATATATTTATTTATTTAGGGCTGGTTTTTATGGAAAAATGAAGTCTGCCTATGATTTTTTGATTGAAAAAAAACAAAACCTCTATTCCTTTGTTCAGGAATTCTGGGGAGTTGTTTTGTCTTACATTCAGCTAGCATGGTTCTGGGACATGGACTATAATTATTCCTTAACAACAACAACTACGATTTTAAGGTTCTTCCACTTAAGACTTGACTTTACTTACAAAGGAATTGATGTGTTTTTATATTCTAATTCTATCCCTCTCACCATCCATTCTCTGAAACACATCACTACCAATCTACTACGTACTGAAATCTTTATTTGATATCCCCTGTTTTGAGAAAATAACACGTGAACATGAATAGGTAGATAGCTGCATATGAATAAGCATTTCATAATACAAAATAAAACATAGATAAAATCATGGCTTCATTGATAGCAGACTGATCAAAACTCCTTTCTGAAGTTAGCCTGAGTACTGCAAATTGTGAATTCCAACTATTACAAGGTTTTCCAACAGCAGGTATCTACTCTAGGAAGGAAAAGATAAATGCTAGGCAGAGGAATTCCAGAGATCTATAGGAAAATGTGAAGGGGGGGTTATCTGCAAGGCATTCTGGATGAAATCAATAAACTGTCTGCAGAAGACTTGGTCTCTAAAGCTGAAGTTAGATACATATAAGCTTTCATTACACATCAGGTTTTAGAAACTAATGAACATAATGAAGGGATCTGAAAGGGATGCAAAGGGCTGTTGCAATTCACGTGCAACATTTTATCAGATTTGTGAAAACTG